TGCTCTCGGGAAGTTGAGCGTCAGACATTATAATGGAGGGAAGGGAATAGAGTGGAGCCTAGGATGGAGCCTTGAGGAACACCTGCGTTCGTGGGGTAGGAACTGGAGGAGAATCCGTTGTGAACGACCTTCAATTCACGGTTTGACAGGAATGATTGTATTACGTTATATAATTGACCCGTAATGCCATAACCCTGGATCTTGCGGGAGAAGGCAGGCGTGCCAAACCCTATCAAATGCTTTGGAGATATCTAGTGCCACGGCTCGGGCTTCCCGTTATTTTGGAGAGTTCGGTAGACTGTTTCCGTGATGGCTGTGAGCACATCGGCTGTAGATCTGGCAAAGCGGAAACCATATTGCTTGTCTGAGAGCAGATTATTGGATGTGAGGTGGTTAACCACCCCGGTATTGATTAGAGCTTCGAAGATTTTGCCGAAGAGGGGAAGGAGACTGATAGGACGGTAGTTGGAAGGGTCAGAGGGGTCGCCGGAGTTCTTGAAGACAGGAACGATCGAAGAGGACTTCCAGCAGTCAGGAAAACAAGATTCCTTGAGGCAGTAGTTGTATAGTTTCGAAAGGGCGGGCGCCAGTTCAGGCGCGCATTTCTTTAAGACAACGGCTGGTATCCCATCTCCACCACTCGCCTTGTTGGGATCTAAATTGGAGATAACGTCCAGTACCAAGGTTGGGGTTATGTTTAACCCACTCAATATGGCCTCAGTTCTAAGAGGGAAGTCGGGTATGGGTACACCAGAAGAGTCGAGCGTCGAGTTGGATGAAAATTTCGAGCAAAGCATTCAGCCTTGTCGGTAGAGGAGGTCAAGACTTCGAACTGGTTGAATAGAGGAGGTATAGAGGGTTTGCAATTATTCAATACACTTTGCAGAGACGCCAATAATCTTTGGAGCCAAATTTGCGAGATGCAATACGTTCCTTCATTCGAGCCGCAAATAGTGACTTAGTATCATTTAGGACACGCTTACAATCGTTACGGGCGGCGGCAAAGAGACGTCTATTGCAGTCAGACATGTCGCTACGGTATAGGTGGAAGTAGTGGTTCCTATGGGCGATGGCGGCTGAGCAAGCAGCCGAAAACCAGGGGCAGGAGCGCGACTTAATCCTATATTTCCTTGATGGGATGAAAGCGTCGATTCCAGCCTTAACCCAGGAAGAGACCTCAGAAGCACATTCTTGGACGGGGAGCTTAAAGACTCCATCCCAGGGGACATCGCGGAGGAAATCACGGAACGCGTCCCTGTCAGCTCGTTGATAATAGAACGAAGTTGCAGTGGTAGGAGGTTCTTTATAGGGGGTGGAGTTAAAGGAGATGTTAACCGATACTACTGCATGGTCAGAGTTACCAAGTGGGCATAGTTGCGAGGCGCTGCAGGATTCGGGGATGGAGGTAAAGCACAGGTCGAGTAGAGAGGCTTTACTTTTCCCGGTTGAGGGCAAAACGAGGGGGAAGATTAACTATCTGTGTGAGGGGAATGGGAGATTGAAAAATTAAGCGTTTGAATGCCTGCATGGTCAGTAGTAGCATTCTTAAGCCACAGAGTGTGATGGGCGTTAAAGTCTCCAAACACAAAAATGTGAGCAAACGGGTGGAGGGAGAGCCTTGTCTATGTTGTCAGAAATGCTATCAAGTAACTCACAGTCTTGAGAGGATGGAGAGCGGTAAAGGAAGAAGAGATAGCTTACCGCATTGAGGAGAGAGAGACGGAGACACATGTATGACTGGTCAGGCGATTCAAGAGAGGACTCTCTGGCCAGGGGGAGATGTTCCTTGACGTAGACACCAAGACCGTGCATGTGGGTTAGAGAGTCTTTTCTGAGGAGAGGAAGATAGCCGGGGATCGAGAGATCAGAAGAGGGGGATAGATGAGACAAGGTTTGTCTCGCAGAGAGCCAGTACATCCGGGCCGTTTGCAGTGAGGAAAGATTCCAGACTGAAGTTTGTTCTAATGCCCCGGATGTTGGAGAATGAAATGTTGAGGGGTTTAGGTGGTTTCTGAGATGCTGGTTTAGGGTAAATCTTTCGGTTTTTGTAACTCATGTTGGATTTATTTGCAAAGATGAGAAGGCCCGAGGTAAGAGAAAACAGACAGTTTCGACCGTGACGCGGGCAGAGAGGAGTTGGCAAAATCCGCATCATTATGTGGCCTCAGGGCTGCCCACCGGAGGTGACTGCAGGGACACCTTTCCACGCGCGACATGGCACTACAAACACCCCGGTATTATACAACTGTTGATCAGAGCAGCCGCTCAAGACGCTACGCAAGAGTTAGGGCTCCTAACTACCAGTCGGAAACAGCAACCAGAGAACTGTCAGCCGTGTACCCCCTCAGAATGAAGAGATGTTGCCACAGACTGCACGCATCACGGGAGAAACAGACCTGCACTAATACAGAGGCCGGAGAAAGAAGACAGTACCGGGAACCCCTTCCTAGACAAGAAACAAGGTGTAAGCCTCTACTCATGTCCAATGGAAGGGGAGGAGGAAGGACCGGGCGGTAGAAGGACTACCTACTCCTATTACAGATAACACAAAAAAGGACGACACAAAACAGAGGGAAGGATTGGAGGGGGAGATAACAGGTAAGGAGTCCTGGTTCACAGTTGGCTATACTCTATCACATTAAGTTTTAACTTAGTATAAGTCCCATTGTCTATTCTAAAAAGAAATTGAAAATACGGTTACCCGGATTTATTATCACATCCAGTAAAAGACATTCAATTTTCCATTTTTCTAGTTTTTTTCTTTGTTAACATTTCGGATCGGGATTCCTTACTAAATTATCAAATAAGTAGAATCATTGGGACAAAATGCCTTTCAGTAGGGAGGGAGGGGGAGGGAAAAATAAAAAATTTAAAAAACGAAAAAACGAAAAAAAAAAAATATATATAAAAACTGAAAAATGTAAATGCATTCAGCTAGAGCGAAACGATACTCACATGGGCCAACAAGTGGGTGACTGCCTACATCGTCATGATGATGGTGACTGAATATACGGCTTTACCTTGTGTCCAAGCGTCGACCTGGGGAGGAATCATTGGCCAATCCTCGGCCCCACCAAGTACTGGGCTAGGGAGATATGCTTTCCATAAGATTTCAAAAGAGGAGATAGAATGGCGAAAAACAATTCCACTTTCAGACAATATATCAAGCAAAAAGATACAGTCACAACATCGTTAGGATACTGACGAGACACCCTCGCATCTAGTCAAAGACATTTAATTTTCCATCTTTCTAGTTTTTTACTTTGTTAACATTTCGGATCGGGATTCCTTACTAAATTATCAAATAAGTAAATTATTTTTTTTTATTTGTGAAGTAAAAAACTCTAAACTCATGTACTGTACGATTTTTAAATTTTATGTTGTAAGCATACTCGTGCAGTAAGCTCAAGGGAGGTAACTAAGTTATTACAATATCTATCTATTTTTTAAAACTATTTAAAGCTATTACTTAAAACCTAGATATTTTAAAACTATCTACTGCAAACATTTTAAAACATCTGTGCAGTTTTTCTAATTAATTTTATCAAGGGTTGGTTTAATTTTTTTTTATATATAAATAAGGATACTAAGAAGCTGGTCCGTGAATATGAGAGGATCATATTAAAAATAAGTAGACAAAACTTATCTAAATTATTTAATGAAACATGTCTTAATTCAGCATTCCTAATTTATTCTTTAATGCTGTCTGTTACCTTCGCAAATCCTGGCAGAAGGGTCAGTAAAAATTTGAGGCTTTTGGCTTTTGTATATCTCTTCTGGTCCTCTGTCATCCTTTTACAAAAGCTCGTTAGGCAGGTCATGCACTGTTTTCTCCTCTTTCTCTCTCCATCTCTTTCTCTTTCCCCTTTAATATTTTTTGTGAGTGCCAAATTTTCCAAGTTCTCTTTCCTCAATATGCTTCCTAGAATTTTCAAATGTTTTTTTCTGACTTTAAGCATAAGTGTACTTTTTGTTTCCATTATCTCTAAAACTTCAGTATTCTTTATATTCTCAGTACCCGTCTGTGGGACCAAATTTCTTTGGCTTCAAATCTTGTCTTCATCTGATGCTATTGTCCAACATCCACTGCCATATAGGAGGCCCGATATTACGTGACAATTCAGTACTGATTTCTTTCTTTCTAACGAAATTTTCCTGTTTCTTAATACTTTGCTTAGCTTCTGGAAGGAATATCACGCTATCCTATCGCGTATTCGGATTCCGGTTTCTCACTTTCTGTTCCCTGTTAAAATACTTCCCAAATATTTAAATTGTTGTAATAGGTTGATTTTGGTGTTATTGTCAATAATTTAAATAAAGTGAGATATCACAAGCCGTGGTTAAAATGATATACGAGGAATGGTCAAGCGCAATGTCTGATTTTTTTTTTTTTAGCAAACAAATAATACCAAAATACGTACAAAAATGTCGGTATTCGTAATCTACTCCTTAAGGTCATCTCTTTCCTTCTCAAATTCTTATAGAAATATCGGTCAAATAGTAACACCCTTAACTGAAACGGGTGTTCGTCTTTAATTGAAACGGGTGTAATAGTAATATTACAAAAGCATACCAAAATAAAATAAGTCTCAAGGTTCTAAATTTAGTTCTCAACATAGTTTACTTTAGTCTCAAATCGTGATACTAATGCCATGGAAAATATAATTCATGTTCTTTGCATGATGTCAGATCTAGTAGTAGAGGCGTGCAACTCATCAAAATGCACACAAATGTCTCAGAATATCAAATCTAGGCCTCTATATGGTCTCCATCTTTCTCCATTGTCGGATGTACACTACAGTTCAAAATTTTGAAGCCACCCGCAAAATTAGCATAGGATGAACTTGACACAAGATTGAAAAGAAAAATGAAAAAGAGCTCTAAGAATCATTGAAAAAAGAATGGAATCCATTATCAAACTTATACTTTGAGAAACTTTTGAAACGAATGCGAAAAATCTATGATGCAGCAATCAATGCTCAATTTTCTCATTTACGAACGTCAAATGAGAGAAACGTTTTGAATGAGAAACAAATGAAAAAATTAGGAGTAAAAAGAAAATTTTTAAAAGAAAGAGAGAGAGAGGGGGGAGCGATGAGAAACAGATGCAAATAAGAAAGGAAAAAAATAAGAAAAAGAAAGAAATGGAAAAAAAAGAAGAAAGAGAAGTCGACAGAGAGAAAATTAGAAAGAGATAAAATATATTTATCTACGATAGAAACGAAGAGAAAAAAAATAGGCAGAAGAAGAGGTGTACGAGAAAGAGTATAGGAAAGGTATAAGAGAAGGAAAGGGAAAGCACAAAAGAAAGATAAACAAAGAGTGTGAGGGAAAGACAGCAGAAGGAGAGAGAAAGGAACAGAAAGAAAGAGAATGAGAGATAGAGAAGGGAGCGATGAAAAACAGATGCAAATAAGAAAAGAAAAAATAAGAAAAAGAAAGAAATAGAAAACAGAAGGAAGAGAAGTATATATATATATATATATATATATATATATATATATATATATATGCAGTAAAGACTGCCTAAAGAACAGGATAGAAAATGTAGAAAACCGTGTAGCTAGGCATATGTAGGAGGTGACCACCCCCTCCCAGGAAAGAGATCTAAGGAAGACCTGAATTGTAACATCTTTGGCTTTATCTGCTTGTTGAAAGCGAGTATGGCCAGTCATATGAAATCATACAAAATGTTACCTAATGCTGTTTGGTATAACGTTCTGAATGACTTTTCATGTACCCACTGAGGCAAGGTATTCAGATATTCTAGTGGCCTAACAAGGACTTTTAAGTCAAAACATCCATATCAGCCAGTGGGCAGTGTCCGAATGACATGTCCATCATGTGGTCTCAAGTGTAAATCAGTGCCAGGACTTAAGATGACAATCGCAGATGATTCAGGACGAGCTTAAGAAGTGCTCAAGCGCGGTCGAGTAGACTTTCACCTCATACATATATATATATATATATATATATATATATATATATACGACAGCCTGTCACCTCTGAGTATTGATGTCAATGCTCACTTTTATATTTATATACGCTCTATCTCTGTTTGAGCACTCTATCCCATAAATATAGCACACCTTAAAAACTATATTTCTTCATATATATATATATATATAGATAGATAGATAGATAGATAGATACTCTAAAAACCTGATTTAGATTTATTTTATGTGCGCACAAATATACTTATATATATATATATATATATATATATATATATATATATATATATATATATATATTTGTTGTTTTTTTACGACGAGGTTCACCTTTAACAATTCCCAGGTCCACTGAGGTAGACGGTTACTCTTGAAAGCTATTTGCGTGTAAAGGAGTGGAAGATGACGATAAACCATAGCCTTGAACAGGTTAAGGTTGTAGTGATCGGGGAAACATTCAGATGGAAGTCGATTTCAAAGGGCAGTGGTTCGCAGGAAGAAGCGACTCAAGTGGAACTTACTTTTCGCCGGAGGGAATGCGTGTTGTTTTCTACTATGTAAGTGGCATGGCGGTTTTTTAATGTGAAGGTTTTCCAGCGAACAGACCAGAGAATGTAGTTCATCTGAGCACTTTCCGTGCAAGTAGCGATAGAGAAGCGAGTGGTTTGCCACATCCTGCCCGCGGGACAGAGGTTGGGCGGAGAGTAAATCGTCATCCACAAGGGTTCGTAAGAGGGATGTCTGGGCAGCTCCCGCCCAAATATGACAACATGCTTCATTTTTGGCCTGATCTGGCTCTTGTAATGGTAGATGATTTCAAAAAGAGTTAGGTACTTACTAAAGCGGTACAGAGAGCCGATCATTTTTCCTGCATCCTTAGCAATGTATCGTATGTACGTGTTCCACTTCAGGTCGAGTGTGAGTTTGAGGCCCAACAGTTTTTCAAGGCACGTTGCTTCCTCGAGAGGACCTCCGTTCATCCTGATTGTTAGTATACCGGCGATGATGGAATGTAACTAGCTTCGTCATCGAGGCATTCAATGTAACCAGTCAGTTTTTACCCCATTGCTTAGTTTGTGCAACATCGGTAGAGAGAGAGTTTTAGCGGTGCGACCGTATATAGTATCATCGGCATAGATCTTTACAAATGATCTGATTATGTTCTTAAGCAGATCATTTATGTAGATATTTACTCAACCCTCCACGAGGTCAGGTTGTGACACGAGGTCGGTTTAATTTGGGGAGCCCGAGCGCGTGCACCCGGGCAAGGAACAAAAATTCCCCGTCTCCGGAAGACTGGCCGTTCAGGGACCTACCAGTTAGAAAGGATTTTATGATCTAGAAGTCCTTTCCAGTCATTCCATAACTGGAGAGGTTGTGTAGTAAGCCTTTGTGCCATATTTATTCGAAGGCCTTGGAAATATCTAGTGCTATGGTACTCGATGTGTGCTTGCTGTCAAAAGCCTCACTGATTTTGTGAGTGATGGCAGTTAAGATGTCGATAGTGGATCGGACCGAATGAAACCCAAACTGTTCGTCGCTGAAGAGTTTTTTTTTTTTTTCTAAGTACTTGACGACCTTTTTATTGATTATGGCCTAAAAAATGGCTTAATGATGATACTGAAAAGCCTGGTAGGTCTGTACTGGGAAGGGGAAGATCGCACGCACGCATTTTTTATATATATATACAGTGGGCGAAATAAAAATTCGTACACTATGAAATGTTTTAATTAACATAGTTATAACTTCTGAAAAAAACTTAAAATTCATACGATATTTATACACCGTTGAATAATGGTATATAAATATCGTATGGATTAAAAAACAATTAGAAAACTTAGTTATAAATGAAATTAGACAATTAGAAAACTTACTATAAATGAAATTAGTTAGACAATTAGAAAATGAAATTATGCGTTATTAATAACATTTTGAGGCGAAAAATTATTCTTACAAAATATGTCTTTAATATTAAAAGGTTTAAATTACTTTTATTTACATAATTCTTTGTAAGATATTTCTAGATTCTTCCAGTTATTGTCAGAAACAATCTAGAACATTCCGCATTTTTTTATATAAGGTTATCTTCGCACACAAATCATATACAATAATTCATCATTATGGGGTAAGGCAAGAAACTATCAAATTCGGAAAAGGAATTGATTATCAAACATTGGAAGGAAGGCAAAAGCTATAGGAAAATAGAAAATATCCTGAATATACCATTTATTACTATTAGTTCCGTTATTGTTAAGTATAAAAAGATGAAAACTGTTGAGAATAAATCGAGATCTGGTGCACCACGCAAGATTTTTCCCAGATCAATGAGAAGAAGTCAGCGCAAAATTCAAGAAAATCCAATGACTACTCAGAGAGAAATACAGGAAGAATTAAAAATTATTATTATTGTTCCGAAGCGAACAATAAGCAATGAACTTCATAGAAGTCGACTAAGATAGCGTTCTCTAAGAAAAACTCCACTACTATTGAAGAAACGTAGGGATTCCCAGTTAAAATGTATTTGTGAGCGTAAGAATAAACCTGAATCATTTTGAGAAAGTGTTTTATGGACAACTGAAGCAAAAATTGAACTATCTAAGCGTAATTCACTTTTGGAGAAAAGATGGCATAGTCTTTGCCCCGAAGAACACAGTCCCAACGGTGAAATTTGGTGGTGGCAAAATCATGGTTTGGGGATGTTTTCTGCTAATGATACGGGTAATTTAGAGATAATAGATGGTAGAATTAATTAAAAAATATACCAAGATGTTTTGGACTAATTTTTGGGGGTTAGTAATAAAGCTTGCACTCCCAAATTAATGGGTTTTGCAACAATAAAATGACCCTAAACCTACGGCTAAATCTACGAAAAATGGTTTATTAAAAATAATGTCAGTATACACGAATGTCCATTACAAACACCAGGCATATTTTTTTAATTTTTGTTTTACGACAATTCACCTCAAGCAAGGCGGGAGTGCCACTAGCATGAAAGGGGTTACAGAGGATTGGGAACAAGATTAAAGAGGCATGTTCGGGGAAAGGATACAGAGAACTACGGGGAAAAAGCTCTTGGTGTCGACTGACATTACACTTGAATATTTGAAGGTTATAGTCATCGGGGAAGCAAGAGAAAGGGAGTTCCACAGACGCGAAGAGCGGGTGAAGAAGCCGTTTGACAAGAAGAGACGGTTACATTTAACCGTTTTGATAGTGAAATGGTTGGAACGAGATGATAGACTAGTAGCTCGCTTAAATTCATGCGGTCTGGGAACCAGCAGAAATATCCCGTCGGACCAGTTGCCGTGAAAATATTTGTAGAAGGGACAGAGGGAGGCTATGGCACGTCTGTGGGATGGCGATTGTAGAATAGATGCCAGATCAAGACCTATCATCTTGCATATTCGTCTCTGGATTTTGTCAAGGACTTGAATCCGATAGAGAATTTCTAGTGTTTATTAAAAATTCTAACACTTCAGTTATGAACTTAACTTATTCTTTAAAGTCGTTTCCTCAAAAAAATTTGAATGACTTGGGCCCAAAAATTGGGTCCTGATTTATCATGTCAAACCGAAAATGTCACACTGAGCGCAATACCTTCTTCTTTATGTGTCGTGATACATTAGGCCGTAGTCGGTCATGGCTCTCCACACCTAGCTTTTTTGTAATTTTTTGCAAATTTTCACATATCGAATACGATAAAAAAATTGTTTTTTCTGCTTTTGGTGTTTCATAGTTAAAATTCTGGTTTTAATAATATGAGCTTTATTTGGATTTATTCTTGAAATAGTAAATCTTTAAAGTCGGATTTTAAGCAAAGCCTGAAGAAATAAGGTATTTCTGTACATTTTTTTCAGTCGATATTTAAAACTAAATGCTCAAAAATTTATAAAAGCTATGAATCTAAATCTTGGTAACAGTATCCATCACATCAAACTTTTACTTTCATACCGAATGCAATTTTCATTTTCTAAGCAAACGTGAAAATAAACCAGCTCTAATGAGCCATGAGACGAGAACAATCTATCCAGGGAGATTAAATAAAGAATTTATTTCGAAATATACACATAATGAAGGTCGTAGGGCATAGCGACCGAAAGGCTATGATAACAACAACAAAGACGAGGATAATAGTCAACATGTAAATAATAACTTCTCATCCCAGAAATCCAAACGGAAAATAAACCTACTGGAGGATCAGTTGGGGGTATCTTTTTTTTTTTTTTTTTTAAATGATATTCATGATTATAAATTTAGAAAAATGATTATAAATTCAATCCGGATGTTTGCAAATTTTACCCCTTCATCGGCGTAAGCGTGTATATACGTTTTTACTGAAAGTGTCTTTTTCAGATACAGACGAATAAACACGTCTAAAAACTAGACACCGACGTGTTTACACATCGATCTTGATTTTCTTTATGCTCTTCTGAGCTTGAAATAGTCGAATTGTCAACTTATACGTCAGCCACCGCTTGAGTACTTCCAGGTGACTCAGGTTCTTAGTCTTCCCAAACAAATAAATAAATAAAATTCGTCTGAAAATGAAACTTATTTCTCAAAATGATTAGCAGA